GAGAAGGAGGTGTGAGGGGCCCAGCCACCCCCCCGGGGGCCGGGGGGCCGGATGTCTTCACCTACCTGAGAAACCAGCCCCAATGATGATGTTGCTGAACTCAGGGAGCCGGTCCAGGATGAAGTCTTCATCCGGGGTGTTCTGGAGGAGCCGTGGTGTGAAGGTAGGGGGTTCAGGGTCCTCTTGGGGGGAGGTGGGAAGGGATAGCAAGGTCCACCTTGGGGTGGGGGTGGAGGTCCCGCTCCTGGGGAAGTTCTCACCGTGTATAGACAGGTCTCCATCACAGCTGGCTGGGGCTCCAGTCCAGGCAAGTAGTTGCTGATGAAGGTGCTCAGGAGGGTGACATCAGGGTGAGGGGCACCCGGCGGTGCCCAGTCCCGCTCCTCGGGGTCGGTGGGGCTGCCCTGGTGGTGGTAGCCCCGGGGGGCCCAGCCAGTCAGGGTGGGGCTGACCAGGGTATCCCCCCCACCACTGCTGTGCCCTGCTCACCTTGACCAGCCCTGGGTACTCGAGGGCAGGCAGCCCATAGATACCGTGGGGGGCTTGGCTCAGCCCCAGGGTCATGAAGCAGGGACTGGTTCTGCCGGCACTGGGGGTCCCTGGCTCCTTCTCCCTCCAGTAACAGACATCGATGCGCAGGGGCTGGGGACACCACGTTAACCCTGGCCACAGCAAGTCCGCCCCACGGTGCCACTGACCCTTACCTGCAGTGGCAGGTGGAGGCCCAGGGGTGCTAGGAGGGCACCAGTCCAGGCTCCAGCTGTGATGATGAGCCGGGGGGCTCGGTACATCCCGGCAGTGGTGGTGACGGTGAGCACAGCCCCAGGCTGGATGCTCAGCACCTTCTCCCCGTCCCTCAAGGTGCCCCCGTGCCGGCGAAAGACATCCTGGGTGGGCACAGTGACAGGCTGCTGGTGGCTGTAGGGATAGAGCCAGGGCATCCCCACCCTGTCCCCTCAGCAGCACCCACCTGCACTGCCCGCAGTGCCCGGTCGGCGAAGAGCACCCCGGCAGTGCCGTCCCACAGGGCCACCTCACCGGGGTGGAGCCGGAGGCCGGGGAAGCGCTGGGCCAGCGTCACGGCATCGAGGAGCTGGGTGTCACCCAGGCTGCGCCGGCAGCTCTCCAGCTC